ACGCTTATACCACTCGTAAACTCTTGTTTTACTCATAACAGACTCACCATAGGCCTTTGTTAACATTTCACACACTTTGTAACACTTTATTTCATTTTTTACGCAAAATTTGATACAAATTCTTTGATCCATTTCTTTTAACAAACGAAAATCGCCAAGCTCATAAAAACACGTCTAACCTTAGCGGCTGCCACAGACAAAGTAAGCAATGAATACAGCTGAAAATTTTATTGTACTTCAGGGGCATGTATACCAACATAATAAAAAAAAATTTTGACAATTGGACTCTCCAAACCCGCGAAATTTTAAAATTCCCGTTATTTCCTGAACACACTTCGTATACACAAGCCAACAGGCATCAGAATTTAACCTCAACTGACTGCACGTCCCATATGGCTACCATTCTGAAAGTTAAACATGTATGTTCATGACCATGTGGCAGTACATACCCTCCATACCTCCCAACACAGGTGGCCATCATGGGCCTAAGCTCCAATGATGAACTTGGTTTTCTCTGGAAACAGTTTTTCCTTCATGAAACCCCAGAAACTGGAACCACATGGATTAATGTCCATACTAATGGGGGCCAAATTGCATACCAGTCAGAAATCACACATGGCCAAAGGAGTCATGGAGAAAAAACAATACAATGTTTGTTGTGTGTGGTTTGAAGCTACCTTGCATAGCAGTTGTGTTTATCAAAAATTCAGCAGACTGGTGGACACTTGCAGCATGGGGCGATTTTTGCTCCAAAACGGAGCTATCATATTCAAACTGGTGGGTAACCTGTTTTTGATAAGCCCACCATGTTCCAAAATGAGCACAAAAATGTCTGTATTGCTGCAGTTCTCTCCATTAAAAGTAGAAAAATGTTTTCACTCTCTGCTTGACAGTTTCCTTTTGTTGGCCACCTTGGTAGCTGGTGCTATACACTGTCTTGCTAGTAACAAGGCAATCACACGCCCCTTGCTGAATCTCCATGAAATAGACATTCACATGCAGGATTCAAACATCCAACATAACAAACCTGTCACTTTGCAGTCAAAAGAAACTGAGAATTATTTCATGGCCCACCCTGTAGTAGGTCAGCGCAAACAACAATGAACTAATAAAATAAAGCCACAACTGGGTGAGATAATGTACAGTCTATTGTGTTACGAGTATCACTGTAAAGCATCATCGATACATACTACTGAACAACGTAATGGGGACCACTTACTTGATTAAAAGAAGTTACAGTCAACAGCTAAAAGGTTCCAAAAGTCTGGCAGTTAATTTGCAAGCAGATAACCAAGAGTCTAACGTACTTGTTATCGGTAGCCAAACGAATTAATTCATCAAGTTTTATTTTCTATATTTAAGTACAGTATGTCAGTTAAAATGTACAAACAATGGAAATGGACAGACATATCTGCATAAAAATCTGTATAGTGTGAACAATTAGTTTGGATCAGAGGTCAGATTCTTTACTCAGACATATCTGGACAGGCAAATCTCCTTTAAATGGTGGCTCCAAAAGAGCAGCCAGCTTCAAATAGAAGAGGTTATGCAAGGTTATATATGAATGTATGTATGAAGGGGTAGGCCTTCTCGGCCCTTGCACTTAGACCTCAGTGGTCCATATTATGCAAGGTTAAGAAAATCTTTAACTTTTCAGTTCAGATAATGCTAACAATAATGAGAATGTGAAATTATTCTGTTACTTTCATTTCTCTGTGAGAACCACTTCAAAGAAGAAATACTGACATACCAACACTATTTTTTAAACACCATATTTTATTATACCTAATTGGAAATTCGGGGACAGACTTCTAGTTCTGCATTTCAGTGACTTCCAGATATTATAAATAATCCATCAGAACCATCACTGGTACTGCAAAATTAACAATTTTTCTAAGTTTTTCCTCTTAGAACAAAAGTTTCTATTTACACTTATCCTGTCCCAATTTAGGCTTCCAAGATACACAGCACACTGACCACATGGATGCATATATTGAATATATACACAGGGTAGTTTGTGAGTCCATCCGGAAACCCCTACAATAATTTAGAACCACTCTGTAGATCAAATACGTGGCTACAAGGGTACTGCGAATCTAATTTAAATAAATCTGTTATGATTTTCTGCTGTGAATTATTTATAACATTAATCCTAGCAGGATCTATGATACCATGAAAAGATCAGTTTCCTTTGAAGTACTGTCAAAATGAACGTTCTGTCATTAAAATATGATACTTGCTTGTTCATGGCCCTGTCAGCTCATCTGAATGAGTAACAATGACGATAAAAATAAAGACATTTTGTCACAGCTGTAGATGGAGGAGTGGCCTGTAGGGAGGGAACACTAAAAAATTTCAAACACCATGACCTGCTAGTGTGAAACTGACCTAAATATAAAAGGTTCTTCAGAAGCTTTCAGTAGAAAGTGATAGGAGACCACCGCCTGAAGAACTGAGCAGACACCGACTAACTGGAATTATTATGCTACACTATTTGGAATGTCTATGGTGAACATGTAAACAAAACATCATGTTCACTTCTTACTGGTTTACAGGATGATGCTTGTCTTCACTGTAACGGTAGTATATTAAGACACATTTAACAGTGTTTGTTGTTGTCTGAATGTATTGATATGTTTGTGCAAGAAGAGAAGTAACTAGTTTTGATAAGCAGTGCCATGAAATTGTTTCTTCATCACTGAAAATCCTGAATTGGGGTAGTTTGGACTACAATCACTGAAGCAGACACGTGCCTGAGGGAAAGGTTTCCATACAGGTGAAAAAATGACAATTATAACTGTGTGTAAGACTTTATTGAAGGACAACTCTCGCACTGCAACATAAGAAATAGAACAGAAGGTGACTTCTTTAACAGAAGTAGCAATGAGCAGTGTTTTCAAGATGTTAAAGAGGTATAAATCCAATTACATGGTTCTGCTGCCACACAAGAACAAACCAAAGAGGAAAATCACAACATATGACAATGATGCGTGTGTTAAAGCTGCCATTAGGAGAAAATCCATGGTCTTTTCTTCAGCAATCAAATATCCACAACTGATAAAATTCTAACTCTTGTGAATGATGATTCATTACTTTGAACTATTAAGATAACTATATACAAATCATTTAAGAGCACATGAGGAAATTTTAATACGTTTTAAAGAGTGCACATAATATAAAACATAATACAGAAAAGTGAATATACATAAAACATACTCCAGATAAGTAACGTGTAGCAAAATGAAGACATAACTAAAATACTGTACGCAATAACCAATGGGGCAGCTCAATGAAAAAACTGAAAGTATTACCAAAGGGACATCTCATGGACTTATAGCATAAGATAAACAATTTAGTAATTAATGGGCAGCATATAAATCAAAGTAGTGTATTCAATGAAGTCTCAGATGATCAGTCATGTCAATAAGGAGTTAGTATCAACTATACCAGAGACTGTCTCCATCTCCAAGATCATGGGTTGATGTGATGAATATCATATTAAAACAATGCATTTACACCACAGACTATGCTCTGAGCTACGCCAGCGCATACAACTGAAGGAACAGTGAGAAGAGTCAGGCAGTCAATTGTGTCTTATTCTACCCCAGAGTGCTGGGAGAAGAGTGAGCAATCATCAAAATCCACACTGCTTGTCACTGGTCCTTCCTTACAATGTTCTCTGATGGCTCACCCTCATTTTATCATGTTAATAACTGGGCATCATGAACAGGTCAGAGGAAATCCCAAGCCCCTGCTAAAGTTATCAGTGGCCTCCACCATTCAGCAGCACCTGAAGGCCATTCTGGCCAACACTATGGTGCCCTAGAAGTTTATCTCATGCCCTGCTCTGCCACTAACTAACTTCATGGAGCCTAGCCCTTCTTGAGAAGCCTCCAGTAGTGCACCTATTCAAGAACTTGCCAGCATCTTATGGAACCTGAAGGTTTAGCACCATGTCCACAAGATCCCTCCATTGGTCCCTATCCTGAGCCAGATCAATGCAGTCAATACCACCCCATTCTATCTCTCTGAGATCCATTTTAATATTATCCACCTATCTACACCTTAGTCTTCCTTCCTTCTGGCCTTGCCACCAATATTCTGCCCTGCCAGAACAGTTGTAGTGTGTTTTCTCGCGATTATTCAAAATTGTGAAAAAGTTCAAAGAAGTTATTCAATTCCATTTTCCTATTTCACTCTCTGATGAGCCACTGACTTCGCACCACATTAACGTTTATTCATTTCCATTTCACTGCCATAATTATGGCTGAACACTTTATATTCCTCACTGGTTAAATCTGGAGTCCTGAAGCTGTCAAGTCATGCCAAATGTGACATCCTAAAAACATTGCTATACTTCACTATAATGTGGTTCTTTTTATAAAGTGCACGTGTTACATTACGGTCACACAATGTACATTCAACACCAGAAAAACTTATGCATGCCACACAAGTGTTTAATTAATAACCTCTGCTACTTTTTTTCTCCTTTCTAATATCCATGGAATGTTAAATGAATCAATACCTGTAAGGAATATCTGAGCCAATTCCGGAGTTTGCTGCTCTCGATGAAGCAGTTCCAATTGCCGGACTTTTGCCTCAATTACAAATTCCTGCACCTGTGACTCAAGCCTCTGAAAAAGCTGATGTGGGTCACGAGCACACAATCTGTAATGAAATAAATGATAAAGTAAAGTAAAAGTAAAGGTATCCCTGTAACAGGCCGTGGAGGCCCATAGGGTTATGAGATGTTGAGGTTCCCACATTTTCTAGACAATTGGCTCAGAGATGGCGGCAAGGTTGTCAGCCCTATGTGCCAGCCGCCCTTTACCCCCAAGAATATTCCAAGAGTATTACTGGTACTCATTTCTGTTAAAGGCTGAATCGATCCCTGGGCCACAATGCAGCTCGAAGGATTAGGTCAATTGAAAAAATCCAATGACCTCATTGGGACTTGAACCTGCAACCTTCCAGCTTGTAGCATAGTGCCTCAAAAATTTATAATCCATTATAATAATTCCCATGCATTACAAAATCTTCCCTCAAAGATATACTACAAAGAAAAAAAGAATCACTATCAAAATTATTCATAATGCATAATTATGATGTTCAAATATAATATTATGAATAATTACCAAATTCCAGATAAAGCAATAAGTACTACTTATGCAACAGACATACATTACTCAGGAAATTACACCCTTATCACTAATAAAAATGTGAACTTAATATAAGTGAAATTATTGACATTTTAAAGACTATATTACTTTATATACAAATAATATTGCACACTTCACTGAGAGATAACTGTTCCTTCAAAACCTTGACTCAGTGCTGTAGAGGAAGCCTGGCTGAAGAATCTTAACAACTTGTGATCAATTATACAGTTACTGCAAAGGAATCAGAATTTCACGAACTGTAACAACTGTCATCTTCTGGTACAGCCACACCTCACCTGACAGCTTCTACACATTACGAAGCTTGTAAAATATTTCTTAGGTATCATACTGTGCATAACAAAAGATCCAACTTACTTTTGAACCAGGTCCTTCATCTTGTCCTCATAATCCTCTGCACCACTGTTCTCAACTGTTCTGCCTTCCATTGCCATGCGATAAACCATACGAATGTACTGACGAAGTTCCATCCAATAAGACTGCAATCGACGCATTTCTTCCAGCTGCTCTGCTGCCAACTCCCTGAAGCAATGACTTGGTATGTCAAAAATAGTTTCGACAAGACATGTTACTAATTCATATGCATTAGAAGTTCAATAAAAAATGCATATAAAGATACCACTCAGGAGATCTGCATGCAAATGAGAGGGTAAGATTAAAATGGATATTAGAGAATCAGGGTCTAAAGGTGTGTACTTGATTCAACTAACTGAGGCTATGGTCCCACATCAGTCACTTATCAAGACAATACTGAACCTTTCAGTTTGATAAGAGGGGAAAAATTTTCTCACCAGCTTTTTTAAAAAAGCTGTTATTTATTTAGTTAAACGAATTTACCACATCTGTAACAAAACATATTTCTGTTTATCATAATATCATGTGCATATAATGTCTCATGAGATATATAACATTATTTAGAGTACAATTTAATATACATATTTCAAAAACAGATCCAGTTTCCAAAATACTGTGTATATTAACCCTTCCGCACCGACATCTGTGTGCTGCACCGACCCTTTAAATAATCGTATGCCACCGACATCGGTGCAGTGTACTGACCTGCGCAGTGTTAGCTTTGAAGGACGTTGCTGACAAAACGAGGAAAGATATTCCAATTTTCTTTTCAGGAGTACATAGATTAAGGTTTCATCTTTCAATTGGTATATGAGTTATTTATTTTGGACGAATTTTTAGCACGGTATTTTTATTTTATATCGTTAGTGTAATAGTTCGTACTTTGGTCTCATTGCGCCTAGATTGCATTGAAGTTTTTCAAATTCTAAGTAAGGAAAATGTATAAAACTATATATCTTTCGACTCTATGGTCTTTGCTTGTCTATATGAGTCACTCACTGAAACCCCAGACGAAGGTTTTCCTTGAGTGGGTTGCTGTACACTCTGCTGACACAATGAAGTAGTCAAACAAGAGGGTCCTTTTTTCTTGGAACCAAATGCAACCTAAGAAAACAAACTTACGAATGATACAGAAATCTATGATGTCATAACACTTTCTTCTCTCAGTCGCGCCATAACCATGGCCTCTACAAGTAGGAAAGTTTTACAGGACGATGAACTAGATGAGCTCCTTGCTCACGACTCGGAAGTTA